ATCGCCTTTCCTTTTTGTGCCCAAAAGCATCTCTGATTGATGTCTGTCAGTAATGTGTGTGTGGGGCAGGGAATCCTTTCATCAATCTGAGGCAACAAAACAAGACACGACACAGAAAGAGAGAGACAGAGAGAGAGTGGGGAGGGGCAGGCAGAAGAGCAATAATTATAGGCGAATATTTAAGCCAAGGGCAATTGTTCGTGATGATAAATGATGATGGGGGTGTAGGAGGAGTAGTTTCCCCTCCTTATCTCTATTTCTCACTCTGTGAGAACCAAGTGCTAGCCCTGGCCCCCAGCCTAATGAGGCCATCAGGCAATAGCCCAAGCCGCAATGCCAATGCCAGCTTTAAAATATTCAAATAGAACAATCAAAAGTAATCTCCCAAGTTCCTTTTGGCTTCCTTTGCGCCAAAGGAAGCCCCCAAAGAGGTGCCAAAAAAAAAAAACACACACAACAGAAACAAAAGTAAAACAATAAAAACTTGAGCAAGAAAATTTCCCCAACGAGCAATTCTTTTTTGTTTTTTTTCTTCTTCTTTTGGCCAAGAAAAAGTAAAACAGAAATTGAGTAAAACAAACACACGAACACACACATACTTATGAGGACGCCAAGAAACGAAACCCAAAACCAAAACCGAAACTAAAAAGTAACCAAAAAAAAACACGAAGAAAAATGCAGAACAGAACAGAAACTGTGGCAACAATTTTTACGTATGATAAGAAGGAGCAGAAGGCCATGGCATGGGTAGGGGCAGGGGTTGGGCAGGGTCTCGTGGATGAGGCAACGGCAGCCTCTGTGTACTTTTCAAAACTGTTTTAAAAGCTTAACCACGAGAAAACTGCGAATATTCCCTAATGACAGAGGCGGCAAGGCAGGCAACGGCAGCTCCATAGCTCCATAGCTCCAAAGCTCCATGCCATCGTTGCATGGTGTCGGGAAGAGTGGGAGAGCTGAAAGCCAGAAAATTCGGCACAAAGTCGAGGGCGGCGGGAATCACGGGTAAATGTGCCTGGGCTGTGGGAAGGGTTTTTTTTTTTTTTTTTGGCTTTCCCCTTAAGAATATTCCCTTCGTTTTTGTTATGGAAAGGGGAGCTGGGCTCTCTCCCTCCCTCTCTCTTGAGTGATGATAAAGGCCTCGTTTGGGGGTCTGGGGTCTGGGCGGAACGGGCATTAGTCTGTGGCAAGAATACCCTTTCACCATTCACTCAATTGCTGTGAATCCTCGCACCAGAGATAGGCATAGGCCGGTAATCAGAGTTCTTTGGGGACACGCAAATGGCAGTTGGTAAGAGGAAACAAATGTCGAAATGTGCAGAGAATGCAGGTTATATCTGGATAAGATCAGGAAAGAGGATACAACTCATCAGTTAATGCTGGAGTCACAGGATTTTGAGTATTGCATTTCAACTGAATTTAATTATAGTTAAAAAATGCAAAATATGCTTTAAAAATATATCAAAGATATAGAAAAATAATTAAACGAATGAATGAAAAGAAAACAATTAGAAGACAACGACCAAAGGGACGTGTGAAAAGTCGAAAACAAAAGAAGAATTACATTTTTCTCTCTATCTGTTCTAACACTCCCCAGCACTATCCCATTTCTCCACCCACTCATTCGTGCCATCCGCTTTGCACTCACCCACCCCCCCGTGCCTCTCGGGGGACCCATAAAACGCTGCCACTTGAGGAACTTTTAGTGCGTCTCAATGCGCATTTTAAATAAAATAGAAATTCAATTTACTTTAAATAAGCGCTAAGGAGTGGCAGCCAGGCAGCCACGAAGGCAGGCAGGTGCTGTGGTGTGGTGTGGTGGGGTGCGGTGCGGATAACAAGGTGACAAGGCGACACGTCAATGCCAGACTTTTTCACAGCACAAATGAAACGTAGAAACTCTGAGGCAGCAGCAGCAGCAAAAAAAAAAAAAAATAAAAGCGAGAAAAAAGCGAAGCGGCAGCCAAAGAAATATAAAAGAAAAACTTTTTCAAAATGAACTTAAAATTGACTAAATGTTCTAGAAAAAAAAAAGGTGCGAAGCAGCATCAGCAGCAGAAGCAGCTCCCAGGGGGAAATGTAGGAGGATTTTCAGCGGATCAGAACAAGCGACGAATATAATTAAGCGGCGTTTAAAATGCTTGTACTAAGGCCCCTTCCTCCTTCGCATGGCATGGCATGGTGGGGAATGCCTGCCCTAATTGGGGGGCAGTGAGAGAACCAACGTCACGGCAAAACTTTCCCCAAAGTTTAATTTAAATATGAATGAACATTTTCCCCTTATAGTACATTGCCTTTCGTTGAATTCTGATTATTATTATCCGGCCTTTGGGGTATGCATAATCGGAATTCGTTAGTTCTCCCGCTAGCCCCTGGATATTATAATATGATTTTTGAATTGGTTCGCAGCAGAGTTCCATAACTCTGATAAGCAGCTGCTTTTCCCTAATTCCGACTGAAATAATTACACGATGCCCTGAATTTGTAATGGTTCCTCGGCAGATAAAAGGTTTTTGAAGTTGCTAGATACCGAACAACAACAGCTTATCGTATGGCAGTTATTTTGATCTTTTCAAATCGGAAAACAGCCAGAAATTTAAATGGGCATTTTGAAATGTTTGAAAATTGATTTAAAACTCCGTTGAATCATTTCAGTGGAGTTTTCACTAAAATCAATGCTGCCAGATATTTTTTAAGCTTATTTTGAGGGCTGAAAAGGCTGCCCTGAAATGTGGCAGCCCATCGTGCTGCTGTTTCTGCTGCTGGTGCACAAGGAGTCCTCCCACGTTAAGGGGCATTATAAATTGCTACCTAATCCGAGAGGCTTAGACATCCTTTGCTTGTTTTCATTGCCATCGGATGATGCAGGGGGTGAGAAGTTTTCGTCGGCTTTGATTTTGCGCACCCCCTGCCCTGCCCAGCACAACAGCAGAGATTGTTGGCCATATTGTTGCCAGTTTGGCAGCTTTTCCAGCTGCCAATGATTTTTGTTGCCAGGTGATAAGGCAAATCGTATTGCCGTTGGCCGTGGCCGTAAGCCACAGAAAGGGATCAGGCGGCGACCAGGCGACCAGAGGGTGCAGATGTAGCAGGAGCAGGTTGAAACCCGTGCCACATAATTATAAGCAAGCTCAAGTGCACTCAAACAACACAAAGTAGTGGAACACTGACAAACAGAGAGAGAGAGAGAGAGAAAGAGAGAGCGAGAGAGAGCGACGCCTCCATTGAAATCCAGGCGCCAAGCTGGCGGACGCCGTGGCCCCATGACAAAAGGGAAAACTTACGCAAAAACAAAAAAAGAAAAAGAAAAGCGAGAAAAACAAACAAAAATAGACATAAATACAGTTGGAGATTTTTCTATGAGCCAAAAAAAGAGAGACACTTGTAACACTTGTGTGTGAGAGGGGGATGGACAGTTTCCGCCGCTCTTCCTCTCTCCCTTTATCGCCCATTTCGCTCTAATCAATTTATTGAATTTATTTTGCTGATTTTATTAAAGCGCGCAAAAAGCATTCGCCAGAAAAGTAGAAACGAAAAAATAAAACCATTTTTCGACAGGCAAAATATCTATTGACAGCCAATCGTGGGGGCGTGGCCATGAAAATGTCCTTTAGGATGGGGCTGGGTCGGCAGGGGGGGGTATGGTGTGGTGGCAAGTAGATTTCGTTGGCGCCTGGTATAATTAAGTTAGAACCTTTTTTTTTTATTTATTTATTTTTTGCCGCCATCTCAGTCGCCTTCGTTGCCGCCGCCGCCGCTTTGTGACGTGACTCAGGCTCAACCACCCATGCCACCAGCCACAAGCCACCAGGCAGCCATCCCACTCGCTGCTGCTCTTGACTGTCGATTGTTATTGTTGCCGTTTGCTGAAAGGGCGCTCTGATTGCTCTCTGCCACAAGGATGTGTCTAGGACACGCTCAAGCAGTTAACACACTCCGTCTGTACTTAGGCTAAGCCCACGAAAAACTAAACAGAATGAGTACCAGAGAGTGAAAGAGAGAGAGAGAGAGAGAGTGTGGGAGTGGGATTGGAATTGGAGCAGGCTGAAAAGAGATGGTGGGGCTTTAGCCAAAACCAGCCTTGATGCAAGCAAATGGTTTGCTAAATGATAATCCCTTCTCCCATCCACACTCCACCATCCACCATTTCTAGCATCCCTGGGGGCTGTAACCAAAGACTTTGGTGTCAAAATGTTGCCTCAGAGAGGGAAATGAAAGTGGTGGCGAAAATGCTTTCCATAAATAGAGCCATGAAAGTATGATGATTATCCATCAAGTAGATTTTACGTTGAGAACAGAAGAAAAACCAATCAACTTTGTATTGAAATATATATATTTTTGTTTTCATGTGTATTGTCACTTGGAACGTTTGGAATGAAACGTTTTACTTTGTCTATAGCTTTTGTGTTTTTTTTTATTAAACTAAAGAACAAGAGAAAAACAAATGAACTGAAAGTTAATATTATTAAAATTCTGGTATGGGCACATGGGCTTCGTTGGCCCTGGGAACAAAGGGAATGAAACGTTGTACAGATGGCAACATATTCCTATCGGTTCAGTGTTCAACCATTCTTACGTTCCATAACCGAAAGCCCTCTCCAAACCCAACCCTCGACCCGCCCAAAATTTGGTTGAGTGGAAAATGTAATTCATACACGGCGAGTGGAGTGGGCGAGGACTCACCCACCCCACTGTTGCCTGGAACACACATTATTTTCAATTGAAAACTTTAGCAATTACAAATCTGCTGCTGCTGCTGTACATTCAACTTTTTGTTTGTTATACTATTCAGCCGAGAGGGGCGGAGATGGAGATACAAATAAAAAAATATGAAAACATGATTATATTAAAATTGTTTAAATTGATATTTTGCTGTGGCACTAATTGTTGAAAACGCTTGCATCAACACTTTACCAGCATATCTACAAACATAAACACTTTTTTCTCATGTATGTGCTTTTTTTAAAATTCTTTTCTCTGGTTTTTTTTGTTTTTTGTTTCAGTTGGTCGGCGGTGAATTCGATATGGAATTGAATTTTGTGATACAGGATGCGCAGAATATCAAACATATGCTGGAGCTCTTGGATCATTGTCCGCCCAATTTGCAGGTGAGTGTCCCCTTTCCCCCCTTTTGTGCCATTTTCCAGTTTGAGTTCCGGATGAAATTTTATTTTATTTAAAAAATACTTTTATCACTTTTCCCCTGTGTGTGTGTGCGAGTGTGTGTGTGTGTGATGTGTCTGTGCGTGTTCGTTTATTTTCGGGTGACTTTTTTAATAGAATTTAATTCAATTCGCGCTGCGGCATCAAAGAAAATTAACAGCCGGCAGCAGAAGGAGCCAGCAGAAGGCAGCCGAGCTGTGGGAGGGGTGGGGGGGAGGTGTTGCTGCCAAAATTGCGCGTAATGAAAACGCAACATCAACATGAAATGGCTTTCAACTGCTGCTGCTGCTGCTCCTCCTACTCCTGCTGCTGCTGCTCCTCCTCCTTCTCCTGCTGCTGCTGCTCCGACAGCGTGTGCTTTTGCCTGGTTGCTGGCTTTTGATACCCTTACGTTGCTGTTGCTGCAATTGGAGCAACGCTGGATCCTGCTACAGGGTGTCCAAAGATGTTGTGGGGAGTATCTATACCTGACGTAGTCGAGTTGTCCTCGTTTTGATGCCGTTGTGCCATCAAATTATTAGCATGAATGCTGGCAAAAAGGATCCGCTAACTTTTCAACTATATACATACGTCTCTCTGTGTCGTGTGTGTGTCTGTGTGTTTGTGTGTGTTGACAGGAAGTGTTCTCCTTCTGTGTTCAGTCGCTCTGCTGCCAGGCAGTGAGTCGCTGAGTGGAGTGTCATCCCAGGAGCAGACATCGGATGTTGAGTGGAGTAACCGTGTCACAACGACAACAAATCGCAACAAAGTTGTTGCTTAATGAGTTTTCATTTCATTAGTTCTTTGACCCCAAAAAATACGCAACCCAACCCCCCAGCACGCGCAACTCGGTTGGTTTTTTTCCATGGAAAACTACTCAAAAAGTTATGCTAGAATAAATGCCAGTGCAAGACAAAAGGCTGTGCTGCTGCTCTCCAGGAAACTGAGAAAAAAAAAAGAAGAACACAAACTAACATGAAAGTTGCTAGCCAGAGTTTTCCCCCCACCCTATATGTTTTTCCAAGGAAAAGTAGGATGTTTACCCTTTTTTTTATACCATTACCGAAATGCAGAGAGCCTTTTTGCAGAGCAGAAGCCATCACTTGAAGCCATTTTGCGCGCCCATTATTTCTGCTACAAAAATGTTACAGAAATTTCTGTTTGTAAATCAAGCAAAAAAAAAAAGGTTTGAGAATTTCATACATATTTAAATTCTGCGAATAATATCAATTCAATTGTTGCGCACTTTCCATTTGATTCGTTTGAATTTTCCACGCATTTTCCGCGGCCTCAAAACTCTTGATGGGGTGGTGTCCGGGATGGTTCAGCAGTTGCTTGAAATCTGATTGCGTGGGTGGTTGGCATCAGCTAAAGTGTGTGTGGCTGTGACGCCATTCGCTCGCTTTCTACTGCCTGTTGTTGCCACACACCTGCTTGAGCCTGCCGCCTTTGCTTATTTCCACCCTTCTTCGTTCACTCCTTTTCTCCTTTACTCTGCCTTATGCCTAACTACTCTTTAATGATATGCAAGTGCGTGTGCTGCTGCTGCTGCTGCCGCTGCTGTGGGATGCGTGATTGTGCGCCTCAATTGCTTGTTTTATGCTCTCTAGAGGGTATTCAGATTCCCTTTATTCCAGGCGGAAGCAGAAAGCTAAAGAATAATATATAAAACATAATAATTCAATTTCTTGTGCGAATATCTGCTTCAGCCTAAAAGTTCTTAGCAGATCAAACCAATTAAAATTAATATCGTACTTTTGTAGCTTCTATGTTCCATCTTAGAGGGTATTTCTCTAGCCTGAACTTTTCCCTTCCCTTTTATCGAAATATCTGTGCGTGTTTGCGGTTGAATGCTGACAAAATTTATTTGGCTTTTTAAATTAATGAAAATTGTCAGTGACAAATTTTTCCCCTGCCAACCATCTCTCTGCCACGCAGTCCCTGTCCCCGTTCCTGTCTTTTCGTGAGCATGTGTCGTCCCCTGGATGGTATGGCTGTTGGCATATGTAAAACAAGCATCAAATATGCATCATTTGTGGGTAGGCGGAGGCGGAAGCAAGACTGAAGGCTGTTGTACTGTTGTGCTGCTATGGCTGCTGCTTTCAAAGATCTCTTTAGTTCATTTGGCATGCGTGGCAGGTGCGAAGCCGCCCCCCGCTCCCCGTTCCCTGTCACGAATTTACAACAATTTTATGGCCAGAAAGGAGAACACCAATACCAACCCCAACCCAACCCCAGCCCCCCCTCCGCACGCATTGAGTAAACATTTTGCATAGAAACGGAGGAGTAACGAGAGCCGCAGAGGGTAGACTTAAATGATTTATGTGTAACTACAGCGCTGGTTGCCTATTGCACAGTGGCAACGTTTTATGGCTGCCCCCATTTTACAGCCCCTGCCCAGCGCCGCACTCTCTCTCTCTCTCTCACTCTCCACTGACAATCCTTAGTAGGAGTAGCTAGCAGTGGTAGCCGTCACTCAATTGATTCGGCACGTAACCGGCAGCACTTGGGTGGTGGGTGGGGGCAAGTGCAAATAACTGTTTTAGCCGCTGGTCCATGTCCCGCAGGTGGTCCCGCACTCCTTTCATGGCCATAACATTTTATACTTGACAATAAATCGCAACGCTCTTTGGTCCGTTGGCTCATGCCACCAGTGGCCCTTGCACTTGCCACTGCCACCTTCGTTGCGGGGGCTGGTGGATGGAGGGGATGGTAAATCAAAGCTTCTTTTGAAAATTAAGGCCGTAATGCGGCCTACCATGCCCATGCCCATGCCCATGCCAGGACCCCTCATTCCGAGACGCCTGCCCCTCACCCGTTAACCGCATATTTGTCGTGGCTCGTCGCCCTGTGGCCCCCATGCCCCAATGCCCCAATGCTTCATGCTTCGTGTATGCTCAATAAAATTTTACAGCCTTTGCCGCCAGCTCAGCAATTTGCGTAACTCTTGCCACAGTCGTGTCCCCGCAGCAGGCAGGAGGCGCAGGCTGATGAACAAGGGGTTAAGGGGGGCGAGGGAATCAACACCTTTCACCTTTCGTCGAATTGGTTTCACGTTTTTTTTTCTTCTGTTTTTTTTTGTTTGCCTTGCCTTGCCTTTCCTTTTCTTTTCCTTTTTGTAGCTTTTTGTTTGTCCTTTCCGGAGGACCCGTACGCCTTTCGTTTCTTTGCTTTCTTTTGGGGGGGGGGGGGATGGGGGCGAAGCATCGCACCTGGCGGCAGCTGCTGTAAATAACATTGTTAGGGCTGCAAACATTTGCAGAACAGAAAAACCCCATCGATGACCAGGATCTGGCTGGCAGTGGGAGGTACAGGCACAGGCACAGGGACAGGGACTGGGACTGGCCCTCGGACTGCCACTGTGACGGGGACTGTACACACTGTTGGGCAAATATCTGTCGAATGGGGAAATGCGGGGAAACCCTATTAGACAGAGTTGTAGGGGAATTTTCTCAATGCGTTGAAAATAAAACGCTTTTAAGCCAGGAAGAAGTCATTGCAAAAACATTTGCAATTTCTCTGGCAAGTATCTGGAAAAGTTGTGTATCTTATCTCCATTCGAACAGAGTCCTGTCCCTGTTCCGTGTTCCTGTTCGTGTTCTGCCATCTCCTTTAGATGGTGGCAAAGCTGCACGGCGGATTAACTTGTGATTATGTTGCCCCAGTGACAGACAGTAGCAACTCTAATGCCAGTTGGCAGCCAGCAGCCAGCTACCAGCTACCAGCTCCTGCTTAGTGGCAAAAAAAACTTTCCAGCGGCTTAGCTGCTTCCCTTTTTCAAAGTCTAGACTCTAGACCATCCGCGTAATTATCTGGAGTGCCGAGTAGACAAGTGTGTCGTGTTGTGCTGTGCTGTGTCGGTGTGTCTGTTGGTAAATCATCAACTTCGTACCGAAACCAATGCCAAAGTCGAGCAAAGATATGCAGATATCCTTTCAGCCTCCAAGCGACTCGTCGTGGGTAGGGGGTGGCATGCAGAAGCAAAACAACATGCCATAAAATAGAAAGCAGCCAAAGGCTATAGCTATGGCTATACATAAAATTTATTCATGAATCGAATTTGTATTCCTCGCATATATTTTATAAGTTTTTTTCCCCTTCCCCCCCATTTCTATTCTCTGCGGCTGTGCGGCTCCTTCGTTATCCAGCTATACTCGATGTGTCCTTCTATACTGTATAATTTTTAGTGTGACCATAAAATGAGAAAAACAACAAATATGTGTACTTATATTGGCTATTGATTGTCGTTGCATTTCGTTTGCCATCTATGAGTGTTGCTTTGGTCACACTGTTTAGTATTTAAAAAACTGCTATTTTATTTGGTATTTTCTTAACTTTTTTTAGTTTGGTATTCTCATTAAATTGATTGAAAACACACACAACTTAAACCAGGCAAATGTTTCATGAAATAAAAGAAAGTTCTTGCCGAAATATCTTTCCTTGGGTTTTATCTGAATTTCTGCTCTATTAGCCCCCTAGCAGCAGCATCTGTTCTAGCTATTCTGATCATTCTGGTCACACTGTCACAGCTTCTATTCTCCATTCTCCACCAGCCCCCATGTCCAATGGACATGTCCGACAAAGAGGAAAATTAAAATGCAAGCCGCCAGAATGCTGAATGGCAACTGCATGGAGCCCCAGGAAAGTCAAGGCTTTGTCGCTGGACCAGCCAGCGGGGAAAAAGCCACTGCTGCAGCAGCAGAAGGAATCGAACTTGGCATTAAATATGAATTGTGATTGGCCCCAGTCAATGGGCAACCCGACCGTTCGATGGAAAAGCGAATTGAAATGCACACAAGAATAACAAAAGTTTTTTACGTTGGGGGACACATCGACATGAGCATGGTGGAAGGGTTCTATGGGTGGGGAAGGGGGTTTGGTTCGAAAGGAAGGAAGGAAGGACACACTTTGAAATGGGTTCAACATTAGCCAGGAGACCATGGACCTGCCATTTGTATTGGCAACG